ATGTTCACATGGAAAGCATACATTAACTTAGGAAAGCGCGAGGTTCAGATGGTGTATTTTCAATACACCAAGATTACACAAACAATTGTTAATTATTTCCTTGTGACAGAATGAACTCAGTTGGACAATAACAAAAACTTGTGGTCATTGGGCGGGAAAAGACAAGGACAGAACGAAAGCTGGTTGACATTCCCAATGTTCAAAGCTGTTTGTTATACTAGGTTACAGGAAGCACACTCTTTGCATGCGTGGCATACTTTATGTGTGAAATAAATAGGGATAGAGCGATAAATTTGCAGGACCAAAGATAATGGAATACGAATGGTATTTGTTGCAGAATTAATCATAAAGTACATTAGAAAAGCCGGTTTAGCGGTAACATGAGGATTAAGTGTTCATTATCCGGACAGAACTGGGGTATCCTTTATGAAATCCCAACCATCAAATTTGATTTCTTTCACCATACAGTCCCCTTTTTACCGACTGGAAGAGGTTTTAAGTAAATTCAAACAGAGAATCGTTTAAGATTCTTTAATCTGCTCATTATTTTGCACATAAAAACTGGTTCATTGAAAACATTGAAACCATATGAGATGTGCCAAATTGTTTGATGAGATGAGCACATCGTTTAAATCGTCCTCATTCAACATGTAGTGCGAAAGTTGATACCATTAAGGTGGTCCATTGCAGGGTGTGCGATCGCTACATCTCATTTCTTAATCAAGCATTTCAACATTAACATTTGTAGAATTTAAAATGTTTCAGCTTTTCGATACTTTTTGATCTGACTCGCGTACATCGCTCTGACTAAAGTTTGAGCGTCAAGGCTAAAGGACTATGGGTTGTGGCTAAAGAATTTTCGGTTTCGTCTAAAGGTCGATTGAAAAAAGGTATAAAACTGCTCAGCCGACACGTAAGATGTCATAAAGCCCGTGTTCAAAGTGGCTTCTGTAAATATTCAACTCATTTTTACTATTCAAAGTATGGTAAAACTACCCACCCCCTACCCGGAACAATTGGGTTTACAGCTAGAGCCATGGATAAAAAGAATTTGTAAATCGTTGGCTCTTTTGTATTCGACATAAATAGTATGAGTACTATGAATCCATTTTATCCACTTAACCAAGTAACAAACTCAGTGTGTAAAATGACCTGACAACAGTGATTCAAGTCGAACAACAATGTTATAAAATAGCTCGTGAGTGAGATCCGCTCGGCGGGTGTGAGAGAATAGGAAGTTTGAGATAGGGACACAAATTAATTTCACTTCATAAGCAACTACTTTGTATGAGTAAACAATCAGGATCACTTCTCACAAATTTATCAAATGCACATCAGTTTGGAAAATTGGATGAGGTCATGTGATTTCATTTACTGCTTTAGATCGGCGAAAACTATGGGTACTTTGGTAAATATATATTTAGGAAAAATAGACTGAACAATTTGATCATGAAAAGATGAAAAGTAACCCATTTAGTGAATTTAGAACGATTGCATGTAAACGGTTCTGGTTCTCATTGACAGTTCGAATGGAACGTGATCCGGGGAATACGACCGTGACAGATCATAGCTAGATCAAATGCACGTGACTCTAAATGAAATGCAATTCGGAAGAACTTCACGAGAAAACACACACAACAATGTCAAGTTAACGGCTAAGCAGGGGAGCGCGATTTATCCGTTTCTCTGTTCTCTGTTTATCTATCCGGGTTCCGGTGATGTCTAATTTCCTTGAATCATGTGGATTGGGTTACTAGTTGCTGTTGGTAAACAGGCCTAAACGGCTGGGGTTTACCCTTCTGTTGTATTTCCCCATACGTTGTTTATTGTTTGCATTGTTTGTTTTACCTTTGTCAACTTGTTTGATGAACGTACAGACTTAAGAAGATAAAATACGGTTAATGAGAAAGATAACTTGAAGGGCACCGTGAAGTTTGCAATTCTATGCAATATTTGTTTGCACAGGCGGTTAAACAGAATTGGTCACTATCAGAATGCTTCTGAAGTGGTCTGTTTGAGTCCCGACGGTCCAGTGAATTTCAAGTTTGGCGACTTATTTGTAATTGTCTCCATCAACAACAGCCGGGGCTGTCTTCTTCTGATTTATATTAGACCATCATCTTGTAATTTGTTCTATTATCTCTATAACTATAATCCTAGTTTGCACTTACACCAACAGGGAGGTTTCTTCCTTGTCCATTTTGAGAGATCCTGGAATCGATTAGCAGATAACAGACAACATGACCGATCTACACATGATGTGTTTACAGCTATCTGGTAACTTACTCTTTTGAAATCTGTCGAACTTCGTGTTTTAATCAGGGTTGTTTAATACTTTTCCCGAATTAGAAGTTAAATCTGCAGCCTTGTAAATCGTTATGGTGTTAGAATGTGCAGTAGTGGAATAATTTCAAATAAATGCATTCTCAAGGTAATAAACAATTTCATGTTCGATTCTCATTTAGTTTCAGTAAACCCTAAGTTATATTATTGAATTCTTTTTTTCTCTCTCTCTTTGTTTCATTAGATAAACCCTACTGTAAGTTGCCCGATGATCTGTCACACAACTACTCATGCAAGCAAATACCCTTCCCTTCGCTAAAGAGTCACTCTTCGTCTACTACCAGGCGATGGGGTTGTTTGTTTCCACAAACACATCGAGGTGTTGCATGCAGGTAGTGCTATGGTTATGCATTATTCAACACCGGACAAATTATAGGTCCGATTTGAATATCAGTCTGACACATTCTGGAATGCAAACAGTGCACAAACAAACAGGACTGAACGAAAAGCATATAAGGGTGTGTGTGTGTGTATGGGGGAGCAGAAGTGTGCACGCGTGTTAAGAAACTCCGTTGTCAAATTCCAGGAAGCGCTTTTTCTGGCTTTTAAAATAGTTCAGACGATGAAAGGTAGCGCAGAAATTTATGAGGAAACGTTTGAGCAAATGGAAGTGTTTCCACTAGGTGACATGAAGAATCATGTTGCTTCTAAACAGTTCATATTCGTATCAAAAAGAAGCCGTAGTGAAGAAAAATAGATCAAAATGAGACTAACGCTTTGTTGAAAAATATTTCCCCACATTTCATTAGAACGCATGGTATAGTAGAACATATAACAGATGCATGGCTTTAGATGGCTATACAGAAGCAGAGATTGATAGACAGATAGATAAAATGGCACACTCCAAATGACCTTCACCTGTATTTATCAGATAGGAAATTGTTGTAATTGGAATGAAAGCAGAATAAAAAAAAGAAAGTAGAATAGAAGCACTGACACTTTGTTCACACATCTTGCACCTCTCACTTACTGTCTGTTGTCTTCTTTTGTTTCAGCGGCTTTTCACCGCCAGTACACCCAATTATTGTGGCCAACTGACACGCTGACAGAAACAGGTCAGCAGGGAAACATCAATAATTTTCACAAGGTAAAATGTGCGCAACTGTATCTGAAACGCATGATTTTGGTAACTCTTGTTCACCGCTTGACTGAGTTCAAACATTGTGCAAAGGCAAACAAACCACGGTCTATTAGTCTCTATCGAATTTCGTTTGGAATAGTATTTTTGAAGACAGTTTTCACTACTTTATGCTCAAACTATGAAATCAATTTTTTTGCCGCTAATTTATTTCGTTTCTACAAATAATTTGCACTCCAAACGGTTGCGGAATTTTAGTCATGAAAAAAACCACAAATGCCCTTTTATTTCTTTCCACAACACCAGGCTGTAATGCTTTGAAAATGGTGTACACATTTGCTTCATCCTTGTTGGAAGTCAACAGTCGTGTTCATGCGTCGAACCTGCTTCTCGAAAGGGAGGAAATCTTAGCCTTCATAACTATTAGCCATGCACCGTTGTGTGTTCCTATGGCTGGTTTACATATATCTATGTATGTATATATGTAAAACCGGGAAAGAACAAGATAAAAGGAAGTTGAAGTTGCCTTCAGACAACCCATTCTGATTCCCGCTGGTCGATTTTGTGTCATCTTTTGATGTCAGCCGATATCCGAGAACACTATGTGGGTTGTTAACCAAACACCACACTTGGAAATGGCCCTTTACATTTTTTGATGAAGGACTGGTTCACAACACTCCTCGGATAGCAGTTTAGTGGTAGCTGTTAAACGGTAGATCTTTAACGTTACGCCACTTAGATAGTAACTTCTGTGAGTTCTTGGGTTAAAAATGGTAAATTCTGCTTATATTAGTTCCACACTGGCTTCTGGCATGCTAGTACGGGTGAAGTTTTGTATTTGATGGACGATAAAGAACACAGAACAGCTCTTTCGTCCATATATGGACTCACGGGCAGTATCTCTGCCGGAAACGGAATATTCCTACTAGGAATCGAAATCACATGATCCCTGAGCCGGATTAAAACTGAATTTCACTTTACCAGCAATTACACCAGTGGACGGGCAATAAGATTCATACAAAAAGATCAATTCACAGATCATACACTTCTAAATTCGCATGAACCGAAGCAAGAATTGGTATCATGTAGTTAGTCACGTGATTCGTCCATGGGCATTTTGGTAATCATTTCCAGCGGAATTTCTCGTATTCATTTCAAAGAATCTGTTCCATATCCTCTATTCACACTAGTTTGTTCAGACGTGAGATACAGACGGGATAAT